TAAAAAAAAAAGTCATAAGAGAGATAGAGAATAAAATTCCCAATTGAATAACAATGATAGAAAATTTACTTACATCTCTTGGGTATTTTGCATAGCTTAAAATTCCATTTTCCAGACTGAAATATCTCTGAAATAGTCAACAGTGATTCCATGATCATACAGATTTCAATATTCTATCAATAAAAAATATGATGAAAACACAGTGAATTAGCTAGGTTAATGCACACACTGGGTATAATAACTATGTACTACAAGTATCATTGGGCTTTTGTATAATCACATTATAAAACACTTAGCAGCAGTATAACAGCATGTATAATTGAAAATATGGACATTCGGCTCCTTAATTTGATCAATACAAAGTCTGTTCATGTGAAAAACATGAAAAATGTAATATAATCTTATAACCATAATGACTGTCACAAACCTACTTCAATTTTTATTTTCTCTTTGGTGACTTGTAACATTCATACATGTTTACTATGCATAATTTTCAGACTGAAGGCAGATTCTCAGAAGTCATGCTACTGAAAAGGGAAATCCAACTACTAGAAATTAAATGTTTCCTTTGCATGATGCTTTGATAAAAAAATACTCTAAGATGGCCGTTTTATATTTCTGTGAGCCTTGAGAAGAAAAGGTTAAACCGAAAACCATTCACCACAGAATTCATCTTTCTAAAACAAAACAAAACAAAACAAAAAATTATCTGTAATATTTAGAAAAAAAATTGTTGATGATCAATATAGCAGGTGAAGTTAAGAGAGAGCAAAATAAATATAAACAAAAAATTTATAACATATCCAATAAATAAGGCAGTCTAAAAAAATAACTTAACTCTGTTGTAGGGATATGGTAAAGCCATAGATGAAAATCAGAGGCAACAGAAAAGCTCCCTAATCCCCTGCTGATGGCAACTATGAAGGATAGAACCCTTAAATGGCTCTGCAACTGATGGGCATTATTCAAAGGAAAAAAAATCAATTTTTTTCTGAACAGAAACTTGCAACTGTGAGAAAAAGGAAAGTCTCATAAAGGTCAAGGCATGGGTTCTTAAAAAGTGGTCTTATTTCCTAAATGGCAATCATGGTCAGGTATTGTCTGGACCCCATGGTGGGCATGTGTGGTGTGGGTGGGTGTGGGGGTGAGGGTTAAATAGGCTCTATTCCCATAGACTTTAGATCGATCTATCCCCGTGGGGAGTCTCACTAGATTACTTTCAGATAATCCGACTTAAATGTCCGTCCCGCCTACTACAAGCTGTAAGGGGGTAATTAACTTTCGTGTCCGCCCGGCTGACAGCTATTTAGCGTGAACCCCCAAAGAGTTAGGTCGATCTAAAGTAGGTTGATCTAATCTATGGAAATGGGGTGATAGAAGCAATTAATAGGCCTCTCTCCAATTTGTGCTTTCCACATGCATCAAAATATAAATACATAAAAAAAGACAAAAAAACCAATGTATCCAGTAAGACCACAGTTCAAATTTTGACAAGTGTTTTGTTCATATCTACACAGTATTTTTAAAAAGCTTTTCACACATTATCTTAGTCAGACAGATAAGTTTCAGTTGTTACTGAGATCTACCAGTTCACACACTCATGTACTGACTGTATAGGGCAATAGTTGCCATCTGCTAAAGTATAGACAGAAAAGAAAAATCTAAACCACAAACTGTAAATGTATACAGAAAGACCCTTGCTCACATCTTTGTAAGGGTTTTGTTCAACCTGAGATATAAAAAAAGCTCAAGATGCTTCATTAAATTGTTCTATGTGAGCCAGTGACACCTTCACGGACTATAGTTTCTCTAGGCTATGTAGCGCAAGATACTTCAGTCAGCAGCTACATGCTAAATTATAGTACAGGTGGCAACCACCAAAACACTTTTTTCTCTTAATGTAAAACAGTTACAAACACAACAAATAAAGTATATTTAACCATAAATCAAAAAGATGGAAATAAATCAGCCCATATTTCTGTAAGGATTTTCTTCAGCACATGATATCTTTAATTAAACAAGCCTTTAAGTTAGTGACCAGTCATTTTCTTGGCATACAAATCAGCATTATAGATCAGTGGTTATAAAGATTATGCAACAATATAGTTATCTTTTTGTGTCCTACTTGCAAGTGTCTGTGCAGTGTGTTATTAATAATTAACACAGATATACTCTAGCATAGGATATAAAAGTTTTGTGTTCATTGTCTACCAATCTGAATCATGCCTTTACCATCAAATCTGATTTGGTGGAAAGTTAAGTCCTACGTTAATTTATAAATTTAAACATTGTATATGATAATTAATACATCTAGCTGTATGCTGCCCAGTTATTAAACAAGCTTACTCACCAATAATATATATATATATATATATATATATATATATATAAAGAGAACAAAAATTTTGGACTCCACAATAATTCTGTCTCACAAAACTGGAAAGATTTAAGGGACATTAAGGTATCGTATTGCAACGTCTGGGAATCTTTGTGTTAATTTGAAGCGGATATCTTAAACCCCTTGGTGAGAGTAATTAGAACCCCATAAAAAAAAACTTGCATAGAGAACTGGAGTTTGGCCAATAAGGTTGTTGTTATTAACAACATGAATATGTACTGGAGGAGGATTACTTGATGTATTATCAGGCTATGTTTTCTGCAATCAATAGTGAAGATTGCCAACTTAAGGTTTAAATCAATTTCACCTAACAGACAGTACTTGCATAGAACTAGATTCCTGATCCAAAAGATCTTCATCACAAATGAAATACTTCAAATTCATCAGGTCAAAACATGCATATCACAATGTGAATGCATAAAGATATGATAGATATAGCTCATCTATTGTACATGCAAACTAGCCAAGTGGACAGGGAACAGTACGAGTATTCCAGAGTTCTAGCATGGATGCCCTATGACAGAAATACTGACGCATCCTATATTAATAAACCTTGCAAGATGATCTGTACACTAAGAACACACAGGAGTTAATCTCCTTCAGGAAATATGAAGCTCATTCTAAGCATATAGTTGCCTCTCCATAAAATAGATACCTGTACAGAACTGTCAGAACAGGAAATTTATAGGCATTTCACAGGAGGACACAACCACTTCATATGGGTAATAACATTAAAATTAGCTAATTTTTTAGACACATATAAATGTTTTTCATACCACATACTACTACCAGTAGTCTTCATTGATTTATATTTCATTAGGACTGAAAATCCTATTGAAGGGCATGTAATATTATGAACTCTTTGACAAACATTGGGTATTCCATGGAATAATAACAACGTACACTTTTATTGATGTTTATAAAGTTAACTTCCTAATATAATCAGGCTAAGCTAATCAGACTAAGCTAATGAGTTGTCAAAAACAAGGATCAACTGTTGTACACAGCTAGAGCAGCTGAGGTCATGTTTCATGTAGATGTAACATTCTAATTAGTTAAATTAGAGTAGGCCATGTATGGGGGCGTGAGTGCACGCATGTGTGCGTGCATGTGACATAACTGGAAATCAATATTCCTAATACTGTTACAGAAATCTTTTAAAATTATTTAAAGGTAAATTTATAATTTTATGCTACAAATAAACAAAGCAATCTACTCTCACCCTAGCTTTCTACTATGAAAATGATCACAAGTAGCATATCTGTGCAAAAGGTCATTTTTGAAAAACATAAAAAAATCAAATATGGCCACTGAAATGAAAGGGTTGTAAATGTGCCTGTTTGCTCTTAAATTCATTTAATTTACATGGTCTCACAGAACAAACCAAAAACCAGAATCAACATCTACAGGAAGTAAGGGGGTGGGGGGGGGGGGTGGAGTGAGGGGGGTCACCCATAACCAGCTCACCTTGTGCCAACCTTTCAAAGGCCATTTTCTAGTTTTCAAGCAATACCCGTCAAATTTTACAGGCTTGCTGCGACCATCAAACTTCTGCCCGTCCCTGAGTCCCTCTATAATGATCCACTCTCCCTTGGACTTCTTCACCTTGGCGGTCCTGGGTTGCCTCCCCTCCAGGTCCAACATAGTGGAGGAGGAGACCGACAGGCTGTCATCACTATCCTAGAAAGCAATAAATCATGTTATGAATAATTATCATAAGTATTATAATTATCATTATTAAAAATGCTGCTATTTGGAGATATAATATAATGTAGATGTCTGCTCCATCTTTATACAGTATTTATGATAAAATGCCATGTACGATTGCACTTCATATGCAATATGCTGATCAATCATACATTGGGTATTAACTATTCAATATTCAACAGTTGTAAACAGTTGTATTCCACGCAGCTAAAATTTCACCTGTCTTTCTTCATTCATATAAAATAAAAAAAAGATATACTTCTAAAGCATAAAGCCACAGAAAAAAAAGATATTTCAAACTGACAAGATGTGTACCTTAGGAATACCTTAAAAAAGCAACAATACCATAAGTGTCTGATTTTAATCTTTATATCAGGTCCACCATTGATTTAATCCACTATCATGAAGGTTGAAGTTTATCTACATGCTATCTAGCCTGTCACTAATATCAAAGTTAAATGGAATCATATAATTATCTTCTTCAGAAACACATTACTAGTACTGTTAATCTGAAAACTTCCCTATGTAATACAATATATTCATATAACAAAATCAATAGAGTTCATTTTAGGTCTGAAAACCATAAAGAAGTCAGTATAATCAAAACCCTAGCTGAAGAGATATATTTACAGAAGCTCATTTCCTAATGACACAATTGTGCCGCTAAATGCTAAAACCATTTATTAAATCTACTGATAGCAGGTGCTGATGCATACTTACCATTTCTTCGATCCTTACGATTCAGGTACAATCAAGTGAAGACCTCACTACTACAAAGAATGAACACCAACATATTTATCTCCTTTTTGAAATGACGGTCTTGTTCCGACAAGATCACAGAAGTACACACAGGAGTAGTCTCCCAGAAGCAGTAAGGCTAACAGAGGTGGCGTAACCAGACATGCACTTTATCTCTCTGTTTGGACCAAGCCACCGTGCCAAGGATTCTGTTCTGTTTACCCCTACTAGCATGCAGCATGCAGCAGTTAAGCAGGTCTGTTGTATTAAACCAGGTTATTCTGAGCTTCTCAAGGGAACCGAGAACCAGGTGTCCATGTGTAGATATGATTACTCTAATTAAGATGTTAACATGGTAAAACAGGCTCAAAATTCGGTGCCATGACCAGACCAGCAAGAAGCAGTCAAATTAAAATCCATTCTTAAAAAAGATTTTCTCATAATTTCATTGAACAAGGGACGTTATGCATACACTGATTCTGATACCTTCAATGCCTTTCTTTTTACTGGCTGATTAAAATTGCATTAATACCTCCTAGGGGTAAGGTGATTATATAGAATGCCAAATAGTACATGATACTGATTAATTATGATATTTTCTGTAAGATATATCTTGCAAGGAAACCTGTTAAGTTATTTAATTTCAGATTACATGAAAAATTAATTTAAAGATGTGTATGTCACTTAAATAGTCACCATTAAGGGTCTACAATCATTCTAAATATTGACTTAGATTGTTTACTCTATGTCATTCAATTTAAGCAGGGAAATAGATCTTCTCATTGCCCAATCTTAAGTTATTTAGTCAGTGTCTAAACTAAAAGGCAGCTTAATTAACTCTTTTTTTAATGAAACTATGCCATGGTTAAAAACCTTCCTGCATATGATCCATTTCTTTAAAACCACCCAGAGTAATTTCTAAGAGGAAGTTATATCCACATCCCAGTATTATATCTAAGATTAATAGCTGCACATTTCCAATTAACTTCCTTTGAATTCTATGGTTAAAATATCTATGATTGCCAAGGATAACTTGGCTTAGCTTGTAACTAACTGTAAGTCAATCTGGGGTAGCGCTAGCAATTTTTTTCGCTTAGCCAAATCACAACTTTTTTGTCAATTTGTTATCCAAATGGTTATAATTTGACTAAAACAAGTCAAATCAAGCCCCTTTTTGTTGATCCAATTTATGTCAGTTTTAGCATTTGGCTAAATACAGGCCTACCCAACTACCAGACTCTGCACAGAATGATCCTGAATTCACCGGTAGATCAGACCACACTACCCGTTTTCAAGGTGTGAGTCAGTACGCATTACACAGTATCATACCCTGAACAAATTTTGAGTGGTGATGCAATGCTTTTCAACCCCACTGAGAATCGTCACTATCACATCGCGTACTAGTTAAGAGCGGTGTCGCGTCTGATACTGTGTAATGCGTATCATTCAGTGCCGAGTCTGGTAGTTGGGTAGGCCTGTAAATTGGTGAGCGTTAACGCTACCCCAGTCAATTATTCTAACTGAAAATTCTATAAAACTCCTTTAATACTGTTTTATCACGAACAGGGGTTTCCCCAGGATTTGGAGTAAAGGGAGTACAAAATGAGAATCATGGATTCACAACCCAAGCAAGGCCAAAAAAAAACAGCCTAAATTTTTGTAAGCCCTTCATCAGTTTTTGGAAATATAGGCAATCTTTTAAGGCTAATGGCCATCCAAATTAAGGCTGGACAGCTTTTTGGGGAAAGCCTTGATCACAAATAAACTTAAGATATTAAAGGCATAGGCTCAATAAGTACTTTCTATTTGTAATTATTTGCATAATCACACTATAAGTCCAACAAGGCTTAAAACTACTGAGTTTAACACAACAGCAAAATAAATAAATAAATAAATAAATAAATAAATAATTATTTTAAATCTTAGATAACTTTCAATACCATTGCCTCATCCATGTCAGAGGAAGTTTAAGGCTTCGTTCACATGCAATGTCTATTTTCTAAAAATCTATTTTCTATTCGCGCTATCTTATGATCGAGGTCTGTGCCCTGAATATCCCGCCGCGTAATTACTGGCAGCGCGAGCCAGTTACTTATAGTAACTTATAGTAATTGGCTCGCGCTGCCAGTAATTACGCCGCGGGATATTCAGGGCACAGACGGTGATCACAACACATGCCGCAAATAGAAAATAGAATTTAGAAAATAGACATTGCATGTGAACGAAGCCTAATTCTTTAGATATATAAACAAACTGAGGGCATGATAAAGAGCAAGACATTTAAAAAAATTGGTCAACAATCCACCATTGGAAATCGACACTTACAGAGTCTGATGCATCTGCTCGTTGTAAATGTTGCCTTCTTTCTTTTACTGATTTCTTTGTCGTTGTTCTACCATCTGGTAAAGGAGATCTTTCAATGGGCCTTTTTGGTGTCACTGCATCACTTGAGGAGGACATCCTGCAATCACAATATAAGTGTACGTTATAAGTTCTGTAATAAACAGTGTGTGTGTGTGTGTGTGTACACAGACGTGCATAGTTGTGTTCGTGCACACCACATGCAAATACAGTACCATTATTAAATATTTCACAACTTCCCATTTGATATACATGTCATATTGTAAGCACCTACTGTACATGCATTGTAATATATGTCAGTGATCAGTCGTTATCAGAAATATGTAAAGTTTGTCATCTGAATGAATATATATCAGTGTCCTATACCACTAATTCAGGTACATGTAATAGTAATAGTAAGTCAGCCCTTTACCAAGATAACCATCAAATGTCCTATGACTCATCCTGTAACCTTGGATAATTTATGTTTCTCTATTGTAAAATAGCGAGCAACATATCATATCAGTGTCACTTAAAAAGTATCCCATCATACAAATAAAAATAAAAATATATAACATACAGGTGAGACATTCAAAAAATTTAATATGAGGCTAAATGATGCCACCACCCACTCTTTCACATTTGTAAATGGTGTGTTTTAATTTCTATGCAAGTTCAGTGTGAATAGAAATTCATGTTAATATGAACAACATAGGTGTAGTCCGGCTTTTTCGTTACGGCAATCACTCCAAATGTCATTTCGAAATCCTTGTATTACTTTTTGACTGTCCCACATAATAAGTGACACTGACACACTGCCAGCGGAGACATTAACGATTAAGCCTCGGTTCTTGTATGTGTCAGCTGTAACAGCGGCACAAAATTGCTTTTAGAAAGTAACCAAAGTTGTCACTTACTTACTTCTGGTGTAACTCTACTCTGGGTTTTCTTAACGGGTTGTTATTTCCTGGTATATCAGGACTTGACACGGGTGACGAGCTCCATCCAACTTCATGACTAGTGTTACGTTCTCCGATTGTTGTTGTGCAGACTGTCAGAGCACAGGCTGTTCGGCGAGGCGTTTACTTTTTTCAATGTAAAACTTTAGATTGAAGAAGTTTTGTTCATTACAGATTATTAAGCACAAAATAATATGCTAAGGATAGCTTTAAAACTACTTAATAAGCGGAACTGTGTCAAAAATCAATAGTTTATCCAGGTAAATTTCAATTTCAGTAGGGAACATGTAAAGAACGTCACACGAGTTCATTGAATGCTGGGATAGCCGGTGACGTCACAGGAGGGAATCGCCTCATAGTTGTCTTTTTCCGTCTATATTTATTCAAAATTCGATCACTGGTCTCATGTCGATGCTTTATCAAACACTATAATTTTGAACAAATATATCATTTCCCTGTCGCTAATAAGATTGTTCTTCAAGAATAATGATAGCATTAAAATACTCAACACATCCTTCCCATATTGCAGCAGGTGCGCCAAGAAGCAATCGAGGATGAGAAACGACGGACTTCATTTTTCATGGTAAATTTTCCACAACTCAACCTTCATTGTCATTAACATTCTCACACTGTGATCTAACGATGTAATATCCCCCAATATGTGAAACCCCAAATGCTACGGGTGTTATGATCAAGATTGACAAATGGCTTCAACAGCTGCCCACTTAAAAATTTAGAATGCCTTTCCAACATTCTCCCTCAATCAATTAAACCATCGATTGGGCATTCACATCATGCCTCATCTTTTAGTTTTGCTTTGCATACTGTAACAGACCGTTTGAACAGGAAAAATGCCCCAAAAACCAAAAGCATTATTATGAAAGTACTTCTTGACTCTGGGAAAACACTGATGGAACACACAAGATTATCTGGAGTAGTCATTTATTTTCATTTATAGCCAACAGTACATAAACAAAACCTTGCATTTCATATAACCCCAATTTAACATTTTGTGGTATATTTTTTTGTATCATGTCACTGTACCTCATGCATTTTATCCCTTTATCAGCCAGTTAAATGCAGGCAGGACTACCACTACAATACAGCTAGCAACAATGTCTAAGTTATCTTACATCTGCTTAACACTAAAATCTGTACAAAATTTACAATTTAAAAGTTTCGGTGATGATAAATAATACCACTTTCAAGTATTACCTTTCTTCCCTGTGACATATGATAAATAGATACAAAATGCACATGCAAATAAGTAGGGAAACCAATTGATCTTTCATGTCTACCCAGTCAAATATCAATGTTAAAAGACCAGCAAGCAGAATTATTATACTGTGCACTTCAACAGGAAGATAATTATTACATACATATTTATTTATGCTGGACAAAAAAAAAAAAAAAAAAAAACTTTTACTTGACCAGCTTCACCACAGTTAAACTTTAATTTGTTCAGATATTCAGACAGGGTATCATAACAATCGAAGTGCAGCGATGAGAGAAGTTTAACCCTCTATAGCAGGTCTTTGAAGTGTCACACAAAATGGCACCTCAAATCTATGCCGTCTACTCATGAGGACAGTTTTCCACCGGAGCTTTAGGTTAACAAATATAATGATATTAAAAGAAAAACCTGGCCTGTTGACCTTATTTCACAAAGAACTGAAAAATGAAGTATCGTGAACTCTTATTTTACCATTAGATGACCATTTAGTTTTTGCTTTGCTGTACATACAGTAAAGGTTGCACATTATATCTGAGATAAACTCTTTGTAGCAAGACTGCTCATGTATTTCACAGGACTGAATAAAATGCTGCAGTCCTTAACATTATAACAAAATCACCTTTCCTAACCCTAAAAAAAAGAGCATCCTTTAACAAACAGCTATGGCTCTTTGAACACCCGTGAACATTTACTCAAGTCACAAAGAAATGCAGCTCGACCTAGCTTCATTTGGCACTGGTGGTAGCAACTGCCTTCTATCCATCAATCCAAACCCCTGGGCTTCAACTCTAGGGTTAACCAGTACACATTCCTTTCAGGACAGTGATCAGTGTTTCATAATGCTGGTCACCGAAAAAAAGAAGTCCCATATATGGACTGTAGCTATGTGGTTGATGATGATGTCTGATTTGATGACATAAATGAACTTGGCCCTTTTTCCAACTCGAGCACTTGTTGCCTTAGGAACAGTATTCTACAATACAAGAAAAGACAGCATATTAGCAAAATATCAACCACTTGATTACCAGAAAAAGAAAAAAAAAAAAACTTCCTTAGACTTCACATATGTGCAGAATATTCAGAATTTTTACAACAATTACTTTATATGCTCAACTGAACATAAAAATCAGATACAATATCAGAATGTTGCCTCTACATAGTTTCTTATAATTCAAATTGATGCATACCTTTGTTCTTGAATTGTGGCTTGAATTTCATCAACCCTGACTAATGACCTGGCCTTCTTCAACTCTGTTGAAACTTTGGTACACAAGAGGCTGCCAACATTATGAGCTTCCTCAGCATAACGATTTGCCTAAAGCAGAAAAAAGAAGTAGGCTTATAATATTTGGCCAGAATATAATATGGATTAGACAGTGGGTTAGAATTCACATATTAAAGTTGTTCACTTTCACGCAAAAATTAATACAAGCATCTGTCACTTTGATTGAAACATATATCAAAATATGTACAGGTCAAGTTCACTTACACCTGTAGCATCTGTACTAATCAAATTCTGAAGAAAAACAAAATATTCTCAAAATATTACAGACAAAATACTCTCAAAATATGACCATCACTGAAATCAAGACACCAATAACTGGTATAAACAATTACACCATGTCTATAACTGAGAGACAAAATTCAACTTTCCAACTAACAGTTAAAGGTTGGCTTTTTTTAAACAACCTCATTAAATTACCTGTCTTTCAGCATGATCTGCCTGCCACCCTTTCACATGCTCAGTTAGCTTTTCTTTGTAATAGTTGGCTAAAGAAGGTGCCAGCTGTGGTGTAGAGGACTTGACAGCTGACAAGGATGGCACAGATACACCCTGGACACTACTGTGGCTGGGTGTAGGACTAGCCCTCCTAGAAATGTGCAAAAATGGAATCATACAGCTCTTAAAGATCCAATATATAACTCAGTGGATAATGAAATTTCACATCAATTGTTAAATCTACTGTCTCCATGAGCTAAATAAAGAATACATCAAAGGAGAGCACGTTAATTGTTAAATCTACTTTCTCCATGAGCTAAATAATATAATATATATAATATATAAATAATAAAGAATACATCAAAATGAGAAAGTTAGTCCCAATATTTCTTGACCATCATTCCAGCTCACTGAATTTCTAAATGAATTATAAATAATAAATATCAAAATGTCTTAACTGTGTTACTTGCAAACCGAATATGACTGAGATTGTATTGTGTTGATTTAATTGATAAGATATACTTACCCTGAAGACCGTACACTATGTTCTGACCGCGGGCTATCTCTCCCTCCCCTACTGTCCTCTTCAGGCTGTAAGCGGGAAACTACTGGCTTCTGATAAGAGCTATTAACTGATGGGGATTGATGAACTGATGGGTGGTATGGGGATGAACTAGGAACATCAACTGCACTTGTCCTAGGGGAGTGGCCTGGAGCTGAAAGTGGAAGATACAGAGTAGCAATTTTTCTTGAGGCCTCTCGAAGCATGCCATATTTAGAACAGCACTGACATGTCCCAAGCAAGAAAAAAATAATGCAATACAATATGACTCAGATTCATTAATTACTAATTTCAAATAAAATTTAAGTTTGTGCAGTATGTAAAAATAAATATCCTAAAGTTAGGAACACACATTGGTTACAGAGATCCTGAAAATGAAATGCCCCTGTGAAACTTACTGTTTTGTGCTAATGTAGTCTGTCTGCTCAACAAAGCCTGCTGAAGCTTCTGAAGCGTTTGCAAAGCTGGAAATATAACACCATATATTAAATGAGAGCAGATATTCAAGAGCATTCAAATAAGGATGTAAAGATACTGTAAAATATATTTGAGAGAGAGAGAGAATAGCAGGAATGCATACAACACTGCTACAAACAGCCACAGACCTACCTTGTTCTGTCAACTTTTGCCTATCAATATTCTGCAGGGCCTTCTCTCCTAGCTGGGATATTAACTGAGGTAAAGCATTGACACCAGCCCCTAGATGTTGCTGATTCATTCCAGATCCAGGACTGGAGGTGGGTTTGCTTACGCTACAAGTGGGGGTGGCTGAACTTGGTGTGCTAGCAGCGACAATTGGCGTGGTGGACCGTGAAAGGGGTCTAGAGTTTGACTGAGAGTTGCTGGGAGAGCTCCCTGGAGAAATGTCCATGTCTTCCATTTGTCGGCTATCTATAAAAATGATGATAACAGAATGCAATTGTTGAATAAAATGACCATTTTATATTGTTATACATCATAGGTATTGACAGTACAAGTGCAGCTACAAGAGAAACCTACCACAACTCATTTCTTAAATGGCTCACAACTTTTCAAAAGCAGCAGTTATGACAATTTAGCAATGAGCTCATTTGAAAAAGTTTTCAAGTTGCATTAGCCTTACTTTTGTCTGTCACAAAAAAGTTATACTTTTTCAGCTCACATTGATTTTGTCAAGAACCAATCAGCTGCAACCATATCACAAAGCATCTGTCCCTTAACAGAATAATTACAAATGTTGCCTGTTCTTTTCTATCAAGCTATGCAGTGAAATCTTAACAAGAATTCATCTTAAATATCCTCTTTTCCAACAACATGCCCCACACATTGTTTCACATCTCAATTAACATAACCCACACTTAAATCCAGGGACTGATTACAGAAAGCGCTACCAGTTAAAGAAGTGATCTCAATTGGTTAATAGTCTGGAATTAAACAGTAAACAGCCGCATTTTGACAGCAAGGGTGATGGTAATGTAGTATTCAATACAAACATCAATGACGGTATTTTGCTTTTGTTAAATGTATACCTACTTGGTAAGCAAACACTTCACTGAGTGCAGTGACTCGAGAATGGTATCAAATGAAATTGGCACTAAGTCAATCATGGAAAATGTTCTTTTTTCCAGAGGTCTTCCATAAATACAATCTATTCCACAAAAGAAACATGTTCTGTGTTCCCCTTTCTATTAGTATTTTCACAAAAATTTAATATCCGATGCATGAGGTTCCACTTTTAACTCCTTTAAGACTATTGATAGTGGCTAAATAAGAGGGAAAAGTTATTTTACATTTTTCTGAAACATCTCCCAAAAATTTTGCAGAAAAAAAATGAGTGGCCAAATTACAGCTTATACTGCCATTTCTGTGGCCATCACTGGGAAGTTGGGTCATGCTCTGCTCAGACCCCAGGCTCCATCAAAGGGAATTACATGAATTTTTTAAACACAAAATGGCAAATATCAAAACCAGTAAGTTAAAAGTTATAGATAGATAGATATATATAATTATGTCTGAACTCAAAGTTGGGGCAGCTTCTTAGTCTTCTTAGTTATTTGCACATCTAACAAAATACCCATTTGACATTTTGCCATTACTTGATGTAAACCAAAACAACCTTAGAATATAACCAATAAAATAGGTGTCACTGAAAAAAAAATTGCTAACGCCAGTCACTCATACACTGCACTGCACAAAACTTGGCATCTTAGAATACCTAAAAGGTCCTGAATAAACAATATGGCTTTGTTTTGGGCGTATGTAAGTCATAAATTAAGAAAATAATATTTGTTTTTATTATTTTAGATAGGCACCATACTCTATATCTTAAGGGACATTTGTTGTAATTTTGCACCCTCAGAGGAACATCATGCCTGAAAATGAAGACAACACTTTTTGCAATGCTTGAATGGCACAATGGTGCAGCCCAGATGCAACACTGAATAACACTACATACAGTATTCTAACATCAACTGTGATATATATATATACCCTATATAGAGGAGAAATAGAGGACCAAATCTGGCAAAAAGCTTTCATGAATGCAAACATTTTTTTCTTTTCAATAGCTCAATGTTAACTCAAATAATCTGAAGTCCCTGTAAAGCAAGCTGCCTTACTAAAATCATGAGCCACCTGTTTTATTTTGACCCAATCCCTACCCGTGTGCCAAATTCTAAACCTATTCATTTCACTTTGGCAGGATCTTGCTATGGTTCAGAAATGGATACATGTGTACTCATAAGTGTTATTTTAGAGACAACTTTTCAGGTATTTTAAGTAAGACAGAAGTAAATACACACACTTCTTTTGCCAAATAATATATTTTACTTTCTGGTAAGGCATTGTGGAGAAAACCATATCCTCTGGCCTTCAAGAAATCCCACAAAATCAAATGTCAGCGAAATAAGTAAATCCCCAATAACAAATACAGCAAAGCAAAACAAATCATGCAAAGAACTAATTAACTGGACAAATATATCAAGCAAACAGATGCTATAATAACACATTACCAAGTCCTTACCTTCATTTTCATTCCTCCTGTTTTCTGTACTTGTATGAGTGGGTTTTGATATAACAGTAGGAATCCTATTGCCATTAGTATCTGCAGGTCCATTTTGATCCTTACTAGACCACCCTCTTGAGTATGGGGGTGTATTTTTTCTATAATCTGCACTTGACTGGCTGGGCACATGTGCTGAATAGTCTGCATATGTTCCAGTTCTTGACTGATGTGATGAAACAGGCCTTTGTGCATTGTTCTCCTGATTACTACTTCTAGATTCCATAGAGGAGGAATTTTTGTATCTATCGTGTGAATTTTGTCTGCCCGACTCTGGATGCCTCGAGCTGCTTGAAGATGCAGTCTGTGTATATGATGGGGAGGGTTTATGGTTCCTTTCATAAGGTCTATCATTTCCATGGCCACCACCACTACCACTTGTGGAATGTTTATAACGGTTTTCTGTGGCTTAAAAAAATAATAATAACTTTTTCAATTCCAAATAATAATAATAATAATAATAATAATAATAATAATAATAATAATAATGCACAAGTCCAATTTTTCTCTACATTATGCCATTAATTCTTTTGAACATAGAAAGCTTTCCTCACCTCTGTTAGTTGGTGCTGTTTGAAGGGGCTTATCATTATTACACTTTTCTGCATCTTTACTGGAGCTTGGTCTGAAAAGGCAAGCAGTTTATGAAACATATATCAGAAATCATGAGAAAAGAACATTTCACACGCCAAGACTGGTAATATTGTTCTCTTCGATTTCATACAGAAATATATGATTTTTATTGCTCTGCTTTCACAAAAAGTAATTTCCTTCAATACTTACAGGTCCAACCATTCCTTTGGTTTTTCCCACTGTGAAAACTCTGTCTTGCAGTTGTAATAGTATTTCTTGCCTGAGGAGCTAATATGTTCTGACCAATCCCCAACTGTTTGCAATGCTGCTTTTTGCACCTGCAAGATTAAGATGACAAATGTCATTAAATTAAATTAAATTAAGATGGCTTCATCTTAAAATACAAATCAGCAACTTAAGCAAGTTCGGGATGATATCAAATGAAAAAGGTCAGTAAACAGGATAATTAAAATTTACCTAGGTAAACATTTAGGTATTATTGTTATTCAAAGGAGTAACACAGGCCTATAAAAAAATTGCTGTTTTCAGTGATTAGAAGTCTCAATGATATTACAGCGAACTTAGCATAGACGAGTATATCACTCTGACATTTTCTGTAACTAACAACTGCAAGTTTGGTAACATGACCCTAATTTTTGTTTTAAAAGTCATCAATATGGATCAGCCTTTTTTAAAACTCAAGTAGCTAACATTCAGATCACTATCTTACATTAAGTAATTCAGTTCTGGTACATTTATTCCTGAAATACTATTGCAGATACCATTCACACATATTGCAGTGTTAGAAAATGGATCATTTCAATAAATATCGTAAGACTAATTTTCAAAGATAGGTATCTGGCACATTTTTCAATCCTGTCCACATCAATGAACACTTTCCACATCATAACAGAGATGCTGCCCATGCCACATATGTAGTAACAGACCATACTTTTATAACTATATAAGTATTAATAAAATATTCTCAAGAACATTAATACAACAGCAAATAGTTACAAGGATTCAAACATCCCCCCCACCTCCAAAATAATGGAAATCTTGTGGAATGATTCTTCATCAAAAATAATTTAAGACTGAGCCAACACCCAATACTCTGGATCAGTTTGATCTTTAAAATTTTTATATGTCACTCAGAGAGAACAATCCCCTTCTTACATGGATGCAAAGTTGAGGAGGCTAAATTATGAAATAACAAGTGTCTGAAGCCAAACATTTGCTGCATTACCCCCCACCCCCCTTTTCATTTTCAATTATAATGTAATACTCATTGGTCTCATTGTTGAACAAGAAAAATCAGCTTTCCATGTACCTTGGGATTCAAATGCACAATGAATGAGACTGAGGGCATCCCTGTTATCAAACTTACATCCTTGTCCTTCTCTTTCCTAGGCTCCTTGTCTCTGTGATTCCTATCAACATGATTGCTATGCCTATCATCATCTCCTCTATCACTGTACACCGCATTCTGCCTCCTGTCTGGTGTACCACTGGATCCTGGACAAATAAGTTTTTTTTTTCAAATAAATGTAACTGCTTTCATACTTGCCCTGCACTGGACCAGTTTTAATTTAGCCATGTCTTCCTGTACATTTCAGTGGAAACTGGACCATATTAATGCAATGTTTTAGCCGCGTCTTCCCGTTTTTTCAGTAGAAACTACCCAGGTATATAAATATTTGAGGGGTTTTATAATTTTTGAAGTCTGAATTGGGTAATTATTAGCTTTGCAGAATATGTAGGCAGAAAATATGACCGAAAGAAAATTTCAAATAGATACAGTATACTTCTAACCATAAGCATTTTTAAACAACTCAACCTTACCCCCCTCTTTTTCTCTTAAAGATTTCTGTGTCATACTCCAGCATACCTCTTTCCACTCTGTCTTTTTGTCTTTCCACGTAACTGGATTTGTTGGCATATCTTGGACTGTCCCTACTATCTCGAGTATTTGGACTGTCGTTCCTGTATCTTTTAAAGTTTGGTGAGTCTCTTCTATCACTAAAACGGTCTCCATAATTGGCTGATGCATTGCTTGATGGGTATCTATCCATATTCTAAAAGAACATATATTTACGTGTTAAAAAAAACATGAAATTTTTTAATTATCTAAGTAATTTTCTCACGTAACAAATGGTGGGACTGTATTCACCAAAATATTAACCAAGATGACAAAATGGCAAAGCACAGAACACAACTACAAACAGTTGGTTTCACTCATCCTTTTCACTTTGAATTTCACTGATCTATGTTTCTCCACATTATTGGTGATATTATCATTCTCTTTGTAAAAACTGTCGCAACAGGCCTGGTCTGATCATTGCCATTACAGTTCCTTTGCTTAAGAAAAAAATACCAACCATACTTTAAAACCACCAAAACCACAGAAATCAAATACAGATTTCTGAGCCTTTTCATCTTAAATGCAATACTAGGAAGTGGGAAACACTACTGCATCTATATTGTAATTTCTATATCTTTTTTATGCATGATATCACAGTTGCAATAAATATATCATGTTCAAACTTTTAACTTTTTCTTACATTCAGACATGCTGAAACTGTCGATCCGATCGATCATGACCAGGAAAATTTGTCTGGACCGGTAAAAAATTGGACTTGGTCTGGCCAAAAGGCCGATAAGAGTTTTAAGGGCTGCATTTTTGAATTTACAGTCATCATTCGACATACATCACTAATAAAATTATACGAGACCCAAAGCGTTTTTTCCCTTCCATTTCCAACCTATCACATTCCCACACAAAGTAAGCTACCCTAATCGTACTGGTAGCATCTGTTTCAAATAAATAGGGCGATTTTCAGTCCGACAAAAATCCATTCGGTCCGGCAAATTTTTCATTACTGCCGGTCCAAATGTCCAACCATTCTGAAAAGTTTTCAGCATGTCTGACATTTCTTATATATTTATCAGTGCATCAACTGAAATTAAATGAGACGGGTCGGACTAAAATCATGTGTGCCTTGAGCATCATGCTGGTGGTACAATTAACCAAATTACATACTTTCCAACAAAAGAAAAAGCAGAACCTTCCTAAGACATGTTTTCTCCTTTATAGTGCTAGCGTAACATTAACAGGAGCTTAAAAATGCCTTCTTCTGTACATCTCAACAAAAAACAAATCATCATGATAGCTCGGAAAGCCTTTTAATATAAAAATATTGTTAGGCTGGGGAATCCAACTTACTGTCTACAATGCACATACTGTGAAGCCTACAGAATATCTCAATTGCTACATGTTTATTCGCAAGTTACCCAAAAACCATGCTGTAATTAATGCCTAGCCAATGATGATCAGGAAAATAATTTACAGGGAAGTACAAGAAAAAGAGATAGGCTTCCATAAATAGTAAGTATCTTTTTAGATTTGAAAATGGGCCACTCTTTATCACTTTTGCTTCAATGGCCATAAGCAAATATTCAGAGTTCTTTAACTTATATCTGCTTTTTCTCGAAAGGGGTAATGTATCGCTTTTACTAGTTTTAGTGATTTAACCAAATCTCAATTTGAACCCATTCTTACTATGTGTATCTAAAGAGGACTTTTGAACGAAAACTAATAGTTCCCAAATCACTGTTTGTTTAAGGTGAATCTATAGCCAACTAAATGTGTCAATATGGGAGGGGGCTTTCCAACTTCCATGTACTTCTTTCATCAAACACTTAATGCAGTGCAGTGGTTGCAATGAAGTCATCTCTGCAGTCAGCTGCCATTCCCTCATTTACCTGATATGGACTCGGTTTGTTTCTGTCATAGTACCTGTAAAGGCGAAAAAACAGACATGTTATACAGTAAATGCATGGATTTGGTGTTTTGAAATCGAAATCAATTGCAGGGCAAATTGACAACAAATATGGCGGTTCCAGCCTTGAAAGTGGCAAGGGATGTCTAACGAAATTACCCATCATTAAGTCTTGGATGTTTCCTTCCATACATCACCATGAATACGAGGTTTCGTGGAGTAATTTACAGCTTTGATCTCCCCAAAACCGTGCTTCAAAGCACAGTTATCACTCCACTTCACATAATCTGCACTCTTTCACAGTGAACGCCATGATAAAATACGGGTATTTATCACCAGCGGAAGTCCACGAACATCAACAACAACACTAGTTTTTTCATATTTTCAGCTGTTAAATCTAAATCATAACAAATGTAATCATTAAGCGAAGAAATATACATAAAAATATACATATTTATGTATTTAAGACAAGATACATTTATTTTACGGAAATATACGGAATGCAGTTGGTGTTCACGTGACATATAAGTAGGTCAGATTGTAATGAGTTCAAGTCTCATGGCTTGCAGTGGTTAAGTTGCTTGTTCAAGTAGAGCATCTGGTAAGATTTCACGTCATTCAATTTGCACAAATGAAATGCATTCATTTGAACAATTACTACAGTAGAGGAAAATGAGTTAAGATCAAAAGTGAAGTAAGACAAATGTTATATTAACGCGAAAAAGCCTTAGTAAACATGGGTAATATTCTGTGTAAACAAAGTACTGCATTGGTCAATCTTGCTATGGCTTATTATCAGCACTGCACAAGTGCCAAAGTTAACATTTTAATAAATGGTGGGCTTTCTGTTTTGTTATATGTTTTATGTACTTCAACAGTCTTTCTTTGTAACAATCATTTTAATTCCAGTAAAAAAGGAATTAGATAAAACTCTCTCAATGGACCCAGGTTCAGGATTAAGAAGTAAATGTGTGTGTGTGTGTGGG